TATTGTAGACTAGTAGGGAGTTCATATTTTCTTCCTGACATTTCCAGACAGTCAGTCTATCTTCGGATGCACAGAGGTAGAAACATCAACAAAGTCTCTTTTCATATTTTCATCAATAACATGTTGCAATCTCTGCCAAACATCCTTCACTGTAAAAAGACAGATAGAAGGAAAACTTGAATATAAACACCAACAAAATCTAGGTTTGCTGGACCACAGGACCATGGATTTAGATGGTTACACTGAATGAAAGTAAGTAACCCATGCCATCACACAGGATACACTTTTCAAGTGAATTAAAAAAATTAACGAAAATGTGATTCATTCCTTGGCTTGTGTGTTGAAGTCACTAAAGGGGCCTTGCATGCTACCACCTTGACTTTTAAACTTAAAGGTTCCAGTGCACTAACAAAACATCTCTCATCTTTCAACATCTCAAAGGTTTTCTGTATTGGCACTCTGATATTGAATATGACGTTAAGGCCCATATCTCAACACTGAGAAACAGGATTACCCTGCGATTTACACATACAGACACACACAGACACAATCATTCAGATTGTTTTGCGATTTAAATCCTTATTGTGACCCCCTCCTCCCTGTGTTCTCTCCTCGCTCCGTCTCCTCCTTCGTCTGGCTCTCTGGCAGCTACAGGGAAAAGTGACTGAGTGAGTGTGTGTGTCTTATTGTTTGTCATGAAAATAGGATTTCAGCAGATGGATAGAGAGATTCTGGAGGAGAAGTACAATCTAATAGAAAGTACACACACACACACAAAAATAATGGATTGTTATGGATACCGGTTTCCTCTCTCCCACATGAGGGAGTAACAGACTCCATTGTCCTTTTTTGCGCATGTGTGTGTGTGTGTGTGTGTGTGTGTGTGTGTGTGTGTGTGTGTGTGTGTGTGTGTGTGTGTGTGTGTGGGAGAGCAGAATTTCATCCCTGTTTTGACTACAATAGAAAGGAAAAAGCTGTTCAAAGAATTAACCTTAAATCTGATATTTGCAATCAAAGGCGCACATCGCTGCCTATGTATACGGAGGGATTATCTTGTTTAGCAGATGCACAACCAATTCTTTGTATACCACCCTCTGTGCGTGAGATATTTAGATATCTGTGTGTTATTGATAAAGTGACGGGAAGGGAATCAAATAAAGGATGTCTTTTTTTTTCATATTAATGCTGCTCTTCTTGGCTTTCCTCTGAGATGTTGAGTGATGCATAGAGGATGAGCCAAATTCCCCCGTGGGGATTATAAACAATTCATGTTATCTATATTCATAATATTTCATATTTTTCATATTTTTATCTCATGCATTCATGAATACGTATTCTGTTTTGATAGGAAGTTCTCTACATTTCAGGGAGGGCAAAAATGTGAATGTATCTACTATATCTCCATCTGATAGGGTTGTGTATCTCCCGCAGACTGTTCTATGTGTATCTACAGTAGCTACAGACATCAATCTTTAAAAACAAAATGTCACTGTAATTTGATGCTGATATATTCCGTTTTTTAATGATAAACGTGTGACTGCAATTTCTTGATTAGATTTAAAATACTCCAAAATATTATAACTTGTTACCTTAAGGGTCCTTCTTTAACCTGACATTCAGTACACATGTGCATCCGAGTTTGGGGTGTACGGGCATACTGTATGTTGTAAGGCAGATGCTATTTGCACCGATAGTGAACAATATATTTGCACCCAAGTGGTAAAGGGGGTTTAAGGCAGGGTGGGTGTAAATAGCCGAATACCTGTGTATTTCCAACCGGGTTGAAAATAGACAATATGATATTATGATTCCCCTTTCAAAACTGCTATTGAACACAGTAAACTTTTGACACAATTGTCCCAAAATGTATTTGAGTGTGGGGATATTCCAGTGGATAGAAGCAGTATTTTTGGAGAACAGACATAAAAAAATGACTATCAGTAAAATAAAGTAATGGTCAGTTCACCATTAATAGGGCAAAGCCTGTAAACTAGTTCAGGCAGTCAACTCGAAGACCAATGATACAACACGTGACGCGTCTCTCTTACAACCAACCAAACACAATCTCCTTAACTTGCGCTCTATTGAAGCTGCCAGATCTGCCTGCCTCTGCCTCGCTAATGCTACGGCTCTGTCACATTACTGATGCGTTCACGTGCTGCTTGCCTGCCCCACCACCACCCCAGCTTCCACCTGTAGGCTCGGGGGAGAGTTACAGTATCTAATCATCACTCAATGTTCTATGTAAATCTGTGGAGTGATGATGCCCGAGTCTAGACGCCAAACTCAACTATATACTGCTCTAGTAAACATATTAAGAACACGTGAGTTGTCTGACTGAACTTTATTTTACTGTGTCAATACTTCTGAATCTTAAGGAGATGGAGATTAAATAGAGAATGGATATTAAAGCATGTTATGATAATTAGTAATCAAATTACCTTACACATTGCTCAGATTCTCCCACACACATGTACTGGTATTCTGCCTTGACAGGTCTTTTCTAATCACTCTGATAAGAAAGTATTTATAATATGAATCCTGACATTCATCAGGCACATTAAACACAAAAGAAAAGCTTCTACATATTAATGACTACTCTCTCTGTATTTAATTATCTCCATTAGTTTAAGGCTTAATGGAGGGATGGCAGAGAAAGTAATGCTGTAATGGAGAAGGTTTTTTTACCAACTTCACTGCTGCCTAATTAATTCCTCCTCATCTTTGTTCAATAGAAACTATAATTATGTGTTTCGTTTGCTGAGAGCTTGGCTGTGGGAGTTAAGGGAGTGGATGGTGCGTGAAGAGAAACAACATCTATTTCCAGATCTTGGACTGTATCAACAGCTTTACACTGATTTCCAGTGTTGGCTTTCTTCTTCTATTCTGAAATGGCTATGCGTGTTAATAAGACCAATGTATCTCTTCCTTGTCTGGCTCTCTATTTCAAAAATCATTGTATCTAAAAAAATGATGAAAAATGTCCATTATGCTCTGTCACACATTCAAACTAGAACTTTTTTTCTCCTCTTTAGCCCTCTCTGCTGCTTCTGTTTGACTGCATGTAACTGTAAACAAACTTTATATAATGCACAGAGATGCAGGATCTCTTAGCATAGAGTTGATGCTGTCAAATATTTAAATATGGGAGTATTTATTGCCCTATGCTTGCTGACAACACATTTTTTCGTATTGAGTGAGTGTGTGAGTGTGTTGGGGGGTGTCTGTCAAAACCCCCCCCATCTTTTACACTCAATTCTCTTCGCTCTGTCTCCCACCCGTATATGTGCTGTCAACAACTTTCATATCTATCATTGTCCATTCCAGCTATCTCACTTTCTGGGTCCTGTGCCCTTCTCCTATTTCCTTTCTTCGCCTTCCTCCGGCTGCTAAGTAGCTAAAGAAAATATGCAAACAAACCGGCTGGCCTGTAAAGAAAGGCAAGCCAATTATGTTATTTTACTGATATCAACAACCGTTATCTGTCAAATTAAAACAGTTGCAAAAAAAAAAGAAGCTTAATTTAGTCATTTAGTTAATGGTGAATGATTTATTTCCAAGAAATGTTAGAGCACATCATGATCCTTGCTGGAAAACCTTACAGATCTGTCAAAATCATATAGGTGATAACCAAGGATTAGTAAAGGACAGTCTTAGCACGGCCTTGGCAGAGGTATGAACCTAATAAAATGTTTTATATTTTAAAGAGAGTTGGTTACATTTAATTTTTAAAATGTTACATTCCTTTGTGCCATGACTATCAAAAAGACCATTAAATGAAGTACTTCACGCAACTTCTAACCTTAATCACACATGAGAAGTGAATGTGCTTGTCAATAATAGGTAGGAGTATGGAAGCCAACCCGAACAGAATCATTCAAGTACAAACAATAATAATGAGGCTGGGTTAAGGACAGAGCAAAGGAAGTCGGTTGGAAAGAATAAATTGGAAGAAAAAACGTGAATGGTGAAGGACAGAGTAGGACAACACAGCTGAACACAGCATGCAAGTGGCTGATAGGCACTGGCTGATATGCCAGATTTACTCACACATCTTAAATCATTCCAACAACATTTGAATATGACATGTTGCCACTTACAGATAAAGCCAATAATGAGAAACCCTGATCTTCATGAACAGTATACAATCTATGATTCAGTATAATAGCCTAACACATACATTTAAAACAAGTCCTTTTTGGGAAAAGAAAGCAGACACATGTATTGCCAGAAGTGTCCCAAAAACACCAAGCAAAGGAGATAAATGACTGAAAGCTAATTGTGCCAAATAAAACGTATAATAGGATGTATGATGTACCACGCCTGGCTTTTATTTCCAAGTAGGACTACTCAATCTTCAAGCAAGTACATTTTGTTGAACATGGTTTAGTTCTGGTATTACTTTTATTATCAATATTACACCCAGAGTCTCAAGTAGCCTATTAGCAGTGGCTGTCATGTCTCGCAAATTATGTTAGTTAGTTTTTGTCTTTGTCTAGTGATTTTCCCCTTTATTTTTGAATAGTNCCCATCATCACCATCTAGGGCAGGGCTTCTCAAACTCCGGACCGAACTGCAAATCAAAAAAGATTATATTTATAATGGGACACAGGGTTCGGTCCGGATTGATTTGCAGTTCGGTCCGGAGTTTGAGAAGCCCTGCCCTAGATGGTGATGATGGGCTAATGTAGCTATAAGGATTGGCCAGTCATGTTTTGATGTGTAATCAGGCTAAAGAGCTGTGGCCTGGAAACTCAGCACTAATTGATCTGTAATGAGTCCATGAAGCAGGGGGTTTCTTAGGTACTGTAGTACAGTGCAGGGCTGAGTGGGATGCAGTCAGCAGCGTGCACATCCCTGCTGCAGCGCTGTGCTGCACCAGGCCAGGTGCTCACAAGGTCACCCCAGTCCACACAGTGCTCACTACACAGACACAATGTTTTTAATTTCCTCCTGATAAAACATAAACGGTCTCTTTTATAAGAAGATCATTCTAAGATGGGGTGTTATTATATATGCGTGCACGGGTCAATGACCTATAAGGATTTGTAATAAGTACATTTTTAAATACAATAATTCATAACATCTATTTAAATTGTTTCTAACATTAAGATTGTTGTGTACACAAAAATTCATATATATATTGCACCTGAAACAACAAATAAATCCTGAGTTACGGTTTCTTTACTTCCTCTCCAGAAAAAAGGACAGTATAAGAAACTGATTCAGAAATCCGTTTCAGTGTCAGCTGCTGCCTGCCACTCACCCCCCCGCAGACCCACTGGAAATCAGTCCCCTACTTATTCGGAGCTCCGTAAAATCAAAGCTGTCTATGCCGTCTGACGGTCTATTTGAAACGATTTTCATATTTTTGGAGTAATTATACAGTTTTTGAAGAACAGAAATATTGTTTTCTGGCATCACTCTGAATTGCAAATCAGCATTTTGGTATCAGGGCGCATGCCGAAAGTAAGAGGGCGCAGCGTTTCGACAAAACCCTGAGCATACTGTGTCAGGGATTTATATTTCATCCAGAAAAATGTGATCTTTGCTTTCTAATTTAATACAGTAAATGCAATAATTGGCGCACCACATGATCAGTGGTTGCTCCAAATGACCTCAGATTCTCAAAACTCGATATGTGTATTGGTTACTGTCAGGTCATACATCCAGCACTCTGAGCTGAACATTTTCATTGGTTAAGAAAAGGTCTAATGAGCAATATATAGAATACATCATAAAGCACACTCAACTAAAGTTAAAGGCTGCTCCGATCACTTGTGGAGGATGTTTCTGTTAATGGCCTCAGACTACGGCTGCTCGATTATGGCAAAAATCATAATCTCGATTATTTGGGTCAATAATTGATATCACGATTATTAAAACCGATTATCCATTTACTTTGAAAACATACATTTATTGAAAAAAAAATNGTGTGCCTTGGCAGTCTCACATGTTATTGATGAAAATATGAAAAGAGACTTTGTTGATGTTTCTACCTCTGTGCATCCGAAGATAGACTGACTGTCTGGAAATGTCAGGAAGAAAATATGAACTCCCTACTAGTCTACAATACATTTTAACGTGTTTAAAACATTTTTTTGTGGCTTTCTTTGTTGTAATTGTATTTCAACAAAACACATTAGTGTGGTATTGGGCATTTCACTTTGGTCTCCTTTATGACTGTGAAGTAGGGCTGCTCGATTATGGCAAAAATCACAATCTCGATTATTTGGGTCCATAATTGATATCACGATTATTAAAAACGATTATCCATTTACTTTGAAAACATACATTTATTGAAAAAAAAAATGTGAACAGTATGTTTTTAACAGTTGATTACCCTGAACTTTAAGTATAATTCAACTGAAAAACCAATAAAGAAAATAATACTTTTTTTCTTTTCTTTAAAAAAAAAAAAAGGTTTTATTTCGATTATGTTGTTTTCATAATCGTTGCAAGCCAAAATCGTAATTGCGATTAAAATACGATTAATTGAGCAGCCCTAGACTGAGTTGCTCCTCTTTTGCTATTTTAGAAGTTAGCAAGTTGAGCAGAAACACAGCTGTATACAGTAGAGTGTAGATCTCAGGTTGTTGCGGGCCACCAGCTTATAAGTAAAAATGTGCCCATCTCAGTTGGGGAGTTATTTATCTTCCTAAAAAACACGGTCAAAAAAATGCCATCCCTTCTTCTGTAACCTTTCAGCCACAATCTGTTCAATGGAATCGTCCATTTGCATTTTTAGTACTTTCGTACCATTTTAGGAAGTGACAATAGCCAGTGCAAATGATTCATTTACAAAAGCAGATAAATATGAGGAAAGCAGTGTTAAAATGGTTCCCTTCTCACAAGATGTTAATAACGCCATAATGACAGAACATTTGCAAACCACACCCAGCTTTGACTACTTCAAATGCTACAGTAATTTAACAGTATTCCGCTCCTCTTGGGTACTTGTGGCAAGGAAGACATTCTCTGGGAAGAAATCCAATTACGAAATCCTTCCAAGAGAAATAATGAAAATTCAAATGGGTTATGTAAATTCTGTCTTGCAAGTGGCTGGGGACAAGTGTGGCAAGTAGACTGTGCTAACACACACACGTTACAGCCATTTTGCTTCTTCAACACTTTTCTAATATTCTAATCTGAATCCATCACTTCCTGCCTGTCACCTCTGTGATAGCGCTGCTAATGTTGCTTAATGAAATTTGTTGACAAAGGAACAGCGCTCTGTCCTGTTCTCAGCATATTGAATTAGCTGTCTGGGCAGGGAGGAGGCGAGAGAGAAAACCCAGGAGATAGATGACCTCCCCTAGTCACTGTCAGCACACTGACAACTTCTGAGGATCTCTCCGTCTCTCGCCCCACATCCCTCACTCTCTCGCGCTTAATACGGTTTCTGCACAGTGCTGCTCACTGACTTAATGCAGCATGAAAATAGAAGAGTGAAAAAGGGAGAGACAGTGTGAGAGAAGATTAAGAAAAATAATGGCACCGGGGGATAGGCACTAGATAAACAGTAAAACAGAACCGAGAATAAAGTAGAGAGGAGAGGGTGAGTAAGGTAAAGAAAAGAGGAAGAGACGAGTGGACAAAAGCGATAGGAGGCCTAATGAGAGGCAGAGTCAGAATGAAATATGGGGGCAGAACGTAAGAGATAGCAACCCAGAGAGAGGGAGGAGAGTGAGGCATAACATTTGAGAGGAAGCACCAGAGAGAGATTGGGAACAAATGGTTTGGAAAACCAGCCACGACGTGAAATAAAAATGAATGGCTCAGAAAAAGAGGCAGGAGAAGTGGAGAAGACAAGAGTTATGGCTAAAGAGGAGGCATTGGATCTGGTCTGTGAACTCTCTTGAGATGGGAGCACTTTTTGAATTAAGATGATCTGCACAAAGGGTCAGGGTTATGTGGGTACATGATCAAAAAATGTAGAATAAATGCCTTTGACTCCTTCACATTAAAAAGCTTTGTGAGCAAGACTTTCAATGGAGCCGGGGCCAGAGGGACTCGTTAGTAAAGCAGCAAACTGAACCCAGCCGTTGGATATGCGTTAAAGCTGTTATTACCCGTTATTCCTGGAAGACTCTCTCACCCTGCTGATCCTATTTATTCAGTTTCTTATTCTCTTAGCCTTCCTGGGGAATGGTGTAACACCTGTGGTCCTTATCCTGCTTCTCTTAAACAACCATTGTCCTTGACACTTCAATCTGCCTTTCCTTTCTGGCCTGGATGAGGTCATGGCAAGATATATGTGTGTGAGTTCGCTGGAGGCATTTGTACTGTTAGACTGAGAATCCTTTGTCATTTTCTCATAATAAAAATGACAGAAGGGGAAAGAAGGGGGAGGCAGCAGCAAGGGATTGACAACAGGAGATATGGAGAGAGAGGTCATATACAAACAGGAGTGGATGGTGGG